CAACTGGAAGACCATCCTCTTCAGCGGAACGAGTAGGAAGAGCAGCAGAGCCCCTTCTGTTGCTAGCTTGATTGACAGAGACCCAGAAAGCATGTCGGTCCAGACCCGATCCCGAGCCTCTAGTGGGGCGAAGGCAACCCGAAAGCCCATCAGTAATGATTTGTTTGTTCCTCCTGGCGCAGACAAGGGTGCAGTCCCCACATTGCGCCGACTGCAGAGTCAGGACCATATTCACTCAGATCAGTCATCTCGGAGATCGTCAGGATCGTTCATGAATTGGACATTGAAGATGGTCGCTGGAAACAATCAAGTTGCCCGCGGATCGGATAAAGCGAATACTGTACGAGGTCGGAAGAGCATCACATCAGATCCAGTAGATAGGAACCCTTCCATCGATTCTGCAAGGACAAATTTGTCGGCGAAGTCGAATCAGACGGCCGCTCAACGACGAGGCCGTATGCTGGGTCCCAACGGAACCATCAAAAGCATTACAGGAGAAGCTCCGAAGAACGGCTCTGTGAATCCCAGTCCCCAACCGCCAGACCGTGGTCTCAGTAACCTTGGCCCCGTTGAGATGGATATGATTCTGCCTGAAGAGTCGCGACCTCCAACATTAGTCCAGCATCATAACAGATTTGCTACGAGCAACGAGTATCTGACGGACCGATTTGGTTTCATATATGATCAGCGGCGGAAGAAGAGGCAAAGCGAAGCTGCTGCTGCCCTGGCTAAGCAGAAGCGCAGCAGCAATGTAGAGTCTTTGGGAGATCGTCGATCTGTGTTGCATAATGCTGGATTCGAAGATGATACAAAGGTCCCTCAGTCAGATGAAAACGGCAACTCACCAACACCTTCGCGACCCGAGAGTAGCGGTTCAGAAGAGCGATTGAACAAGGTTCCCACCAAGACCTGGGCGGATTACCTCAAGCTCGCAACGCACCCTACAGAACTTCTATCGCATACCCCATCTACCGCACCAATTACTACAGTCGAGACTGCGGAAGCTGAGATACTTGCGCCAAGACTTAGTCAAGTTGTTGTAGCCAAGCGAGGCTCTATGCCTTCTGTGAGTGCGAATCCAGAACCGTCCCCTTCCCGATCTATCTCAGCCAGGGGAGAATTTTCTATTGTATCACCCCCCGGACCGACATCCCCGATCAGCCCTCTCCCGCCTCAAGCAGATCCCGTCAAGGCATTGCTCGAACAGCTTACGGAGCTTCACGACAACCTGCAGAGGGAGAAGACAATACAATGGAACGAGTTCCTACGGAAAGTTCGTGCAGAGCGAAAACGACAAGGCGACGCCGTCAATGGTGGTGAAGGCCGAGGCAAGGGGCTTGAGATGCCAGAGACTCATCTGACAGATGGCGAAATTGTTGGCGTTGCCGGCCTTGGCAACAAAGGCAAGGTCGGACGTGCAAAATGGCAAGAGTTTCGTCGACTTGTGCTCGGAGGTATTCCCGTCACTTATCGATCAAAGATCTGGGCTGAGTGTAGCGGCGCATCCGCTCTACGTGTTCCCGGATACTACGAGGATCTGATCAACAACGGAGAAGACAACCCGACGATCATCACTCAAATTCAGATGGACATTACGCGCACACTGACGGACAATATATTTTTCCGCAAAGGTCCTGGAGTGCACAAGCTGAACGAGGTCCTCCTCGCCTACTCGCGCCGCAACCCCGAAGTCGGCTACTGCCAAGGCATGAACCTCATCACGGCCTGTCTTCTGTTGATTATGCCGACAGCTGAAGACGCATTCTGGGTCCTCGCAACTATGATTGAGAACATTTTGCCTCAGAATTACTACGACCAGCACTTGCTCACCTCTCGAGCTGACCAGTCTGTCTTACGCGAGTATGTCGTGGACTTGCTTCCGAAGCTATCGAACCATCTTGACCTCCTAGAAATAGAGCTCGAAGCGCTCACCTTTCAATGGTTCCTTTCTGTCTTCACTGACTGCCTCTCTGCCGAAGCGCTTTACCGTGTCTGGGATGTAGTGTTGTGCATGCAAGATGGCTCCACATTCCTCTTCCAAGTCGCATTAGCCCTGCTCAAGCTTAACGAGAAGCAACTCCTGCAGTGCGACACGCCAGCCGCCATCTATCACTACATCAACCACCAGATGACGAACCACGCTATCAGTATCGACGGTCTTATTCAAGCAAGCGATGCGCTTAACAAGGAGGTCAAGCGCAAGGATGTCGAGGAGCGTCGCGCACGCGCTGTGGCACACGAGCAAGAGCTCATGCGACAACGCGAGGAGGCTCGTCAAGAGCGCGCCCGCCGGCGAGCCAGCAAAATCTCAGAAGAATCGCGCGAGCACGCAGAGGTACACGCTAACCGAGCGCCCTCTATTTCGGCTAGTCTAGACGCAGAGCTCTCTATGCAGACGAGCCCCATGCGAACGCCGCTGTCGAGTGCATCGCGCAGGAGTGAGGAGGAGGAAGATGCCGATGTCCTGAACCAGAGCTTGGAGAGCCTGTCAGCTAGGACACCAATGCCTATAGAGGAGGAGAGCTTGAGGAGAGCTTAGTGTTGATATTTTAATTGTTGCATTGGTGGGAGGTCTTTCCTTGTGATACCCCAAACCAAGTCGTTCCTTGATCTGTTTCCTTTTGTCAGCCCTGCATTGGTGGCGTCGGAACATAGCATACATATACCCCAAAATGCCCTTTAGTCTGTTGGTTGGCATAGGCTTGTGCAAGCTTCAGCCAGATTCATGCGGTTGTAGTGTAGTTGAATAGATATTTTACATTGGAATTACTTCTCGCTACTGGATTGCAGACGGTCTAACACAGTCACGTAACGCAATGATACGAAGAGAAAAACCTAGAGCAGCCAGGCACCATATGATGCCAAAATTGCACGCCGGTAAGATTCACCACACCGTTATTATATATCATCAGATAGTAATAAACCCAGAACAAGTCATAATAGGAGACCAGATTATCTTGGAACAAGCAACGACAATCTTTAGGCTCATGGGCCGAGACTGCATACCGCGAAGCGATCACCAATCTACCGCCTCCAGATCTGCCCACAAAGTTCCCAGTCTACTCAAGTCCTCGTCACGGAATGTATGCTCTCCGCTCTTTATCCTTTCTGTCGGTCATTGGATGGGCTCCATTCGCGGAAACGTGTTGTAAGTGCGTCGATGTAGCTCGTGCCTAGGTCGCGGAAAATGGTAGTGCTCTATATCAGGCTTCCTGAGCCAACGGGCGGTTTCGCTGGTCTCGCTCCCTAGGTCGCCTGAGCGTGCTTCGTAGTCCTGGAGATATGTTGTTATAGTGGATAGCAGGTGTGTGTATACCACCAGGAAGGGAAAGAGAAGGTAGGAGATGAGGCAAGCAAGCTTAGAGGCAGGGGGGGAGGTTTCGAGCAACGGGGTAGTAGGCACAGACGCGAGAGTGTCTTTCAAACCTGATGCAGGTGTGGTGTCATTGATTGTAGGTGAAGAAGTTGTCTCGGAATTTGGTGCCGGTCTTTCGAGGTCAAACGACACTGTTTTTCTCTTCTGTAGCGATCGACCGGGTTGGCTATCGTCAAAAGATCTCAAATTCCCCTTCAATAACCGTGCTTCCGGGCTACGGAGTAGTGTTTGCGCATCGAAGGACACAGTTCTGTTCGGCGCTGCCCGGTCTGGCTGTGTTTCAAAAGGTTGGTAATACGGTATCTTCATGCGCTCTTGGAGTTCTGTTTCCGGCCATCGCTGTGGATGCAAAAAATCGTTGTATGACACATCTGTGTTACGGCATGTTTCTGCCCTTGATTCGGCGTAAGTGTTGATCGAAGAAAGTTCCTTGGATGATAAAGGTGATTCTGGTATTGCAGATATGTTGATCCGAAAATTTGGAGAGTCTTCTTGCTTTGGAGACAGAATAACGATTTGTGGGACTTTGCCGCCAGTCTGCGCCCTCTCCTCACCCTTCAGAGTGAATTTAGGCTGATCATGCTTCACAGAAGAAGAACACTCTGAGATGAGAGTGGAAGCTATGGAGCTAGAAGCGAAGTCTTCAGGAGCAGAAGTTCTCATAGCAACTTGACTACTGATACACTTAGGAAACCATAGGGAGGAGCTACAAGAGGCGTAGCTGTTCGGCGTGGCGATACATATAGAAGCCTGGGGCAGTATATATGACTTATTATAGTACGCGTCTATGAAAGTGTCCACGCGTAGATCACTTGATACATAGTGAATGTAATTGGATGTGCTAGGCGCAATTCTACGGTTGATACCTTTGCACCAATGACGGGTGAACCACCGTACCTGAGGCCGAAAGAGACATCTGCGGTTGCTCTCACTTGCCAACTTTGCACTGCACACCCTTCCTCGCTGCCAAACTACAGGTCTGTTGATTATTGAAGGCACCTCCATCCGAGGAAATCAACGTGCACGCATCACAGTCATGATGTTCATGGCAGTATTCGTCCCAACTATGTGGGTCCCAGTCACTGTCGAACCATGGCACACTCAAGGCAGCTTTGGCTGAGCAACATGAAATATCACAAATTACCCACTATTGTTTGGATTTCTCCCAGGTGGTGTCCCAACGGAAATTGGGCTTCTTTCACGAGCCTGTCACCGTAGATGCTTATTCAGCAAAGGGGACTGTGCATGTATCTAAGCAATTCTCTGTCTTTGAGAAGCCTGTCGGTAATATTGAAGCTGTTGCATTGGAAATCTTATGGGCTCCTTACGCAAACTTCATTATGCTATAGCTGACTGCCTCGAAAGTGCTTTCAGGTCTCGTCGCTGTACCTTGTAATGTCGCGCTGGCGAGCTATATCTCTCCATGCCCTCGTTAGTATTATGTAGTGTCTGATAAGTAAACAAAGTTGCTTGTGGAATTGATCGGCAAAGTCGATCATGGTTTGGCACATCTCTGGAATCAAACGCTCAAAGACGCCCAGTTGTGTGTTAAAAAAGGACAGGTCTCTTTGCACACAAAGAGTCAAAACTTCGACTAAGCAAAAGAAAATGCTGGTAATACTCATTCCGACACCGGGAATCGAACCCGGGCCACGCCGGCTCATGAACGATGATGGACATCAACATGAAAGCGGCGGATCCTAGCCACTAGACCATATCGGATAATCTTCTGATTGGACAGATAAGAATGTGTGTGAGTAAATAAAATTATATCCATGACACATTCCAAGGCTGCTATGAGCTGGACGAGTCTACAGGTAAAAACGAATGACCTGTCAATGCAGAAATAGAAATCGAGAGGTTGCATGTGGGGCCATACATGCGCAAGCGCACCTCGCTTAAAAATTTTCATTGGAGACTATGGTTAGTCATAATAAGGGGCATAGCTCCAGGTGGATGTACTATCATTAGTTGACACGACATGGAGATTGAGTATGCTTCTAAGGCAGTCATGTATATATGCTCGTGTTCGAGAACCATATAAAGCTGCCGAGCTTGCTCTATTCTCTAGACAGATAATTAGAGCAAAGGTGCGCGACGAATAATGATTATTCGGGTATCATGGAAATGTTAAATAGTTACGTTCTAGCTAATTTAGCCAGCACATGAGCTATAACATAAGTAGTATCCTACTGAAGGATTAGGGATAAGGACAGGCAGAAGATTGGAACCATTAAGGGCTTAGTGTATTTATAAGGGCCGTATAGACGTAGATATTGGGAATTGCTATCCTGATTCATAATCCATTCATGTCTATCGACTGCCATGTTCGTGGGTGTGTTGCCGTGATGCGCGCTCCCGTATATAGTTGTTAGTAGCCACTTTTGGTTGCTGTTAACCGAATGCCTAGAAACGTTGAAATTTAGTGAAGCAAGTAATAGGTGATACAGAGAAAGGAAGTTTTTTTTTTCATTCCGCCGTTTGCCATGGGGGCCGTATCCGGTCAGTGTCATTCCCAGCCGTCTCGTGTTTTGGGCAGGTTTAGTACTGATTATAGGTTCCAGTCGCGTACCAGGACGCAAGAGTTAAGCGCCAGGGTCCAGTGGCTGTTAAAGAAGCGAGACTAAGAGAGGCTGAGCATGTTTGACTTCTCAATAGCTGGCTAAGTTTGCAAGTGCTAAGTCTCAGGGAAGAGTTAGTCCTCATAGATACGGTGCCGACTCGCTAGGCTGCCTAGCAGGACAAGTGTCCGGTGGGGGTAATAGACCACTCCATATGATCTGCTTGATGCAGTGTAGATAATCTCAAACTCTGTGGCTACTCCGAAGTTGTTGCTGCCACCACGAATAGCCGTGTCAAGATCCGCCCACTGTCTGTCATTAGTATCGACAACTTTGCCGCTGGCGAGCACCATTTGTACGCCAACGATCTGATTCACAGCCAGGCCAACTCGCGGAGCAAGGTAGCTGACACCCCCTGTAACGGTCGCATCAGTTGGAAATCAGACTCTGGGGTTATGAGAACAAATACCGGCAAGTGACAAGCCTCCAACTCCAACATCAGTCGAAAGTCCTCCCGGCACCGTGAGCCCCAGAGGGTCCAGGACCTTGTACACGTCTCCCCATTTCGCGCCTGCACCAACTGTGACAGTTCGCTTTGCGTAGCTAATATTGGTTGATTTTAAGCCGCTGAGGTCGATCACCACGCCACCCTGGATGGACGAGGCGCCAGACTTACCATGCCCACCGGCACGCACTGCGAACGGAATTGAGGCAGTCTGGTACGGTTGAGTAAGCGTGTGAATGGCCTTTAATACATCATCAGTGGTAAGTGCGATCACAATGCACCCTGGGCGTAGTTGGATCTCTTGTTCCGCCCAGTAAGACAAATGAGACAGGTCGTAGGCGGTGGATTTCTCAAAAGACACACGACCCGGAAGCACTTTGGTGAGCGTAGCGCACTATGTGGTTGTGTCAGTAGCACGGATATCAGTCTCGTATAGGATGGAGGGGCCGAGGGAGTACGCACACAGTCGCGGGCTTCATAGAGATGCTGTAGCGTTGACGCCACAGCTATCGTCGCGTATAAAAAGACCAGTTTCACAGGGGAGAGCGAAGCCATGGTTTCGTTGTGATACGACGTTATGGCATCATTCCTTCAGTTTATCAACCATTTTACCTCTCCTCATCCGCTTGCACTGTAAGTTATTTAAGAACGTATAGATACGAAAGGTGTAGGGTTCACTCTAAAGCACACAGCAGCTTGACCTCAAGACGCAGAAGCAGCCTTGTCGTTGCTAAGCTTGGCGTTTGCGTTCACGAGAAGAGCCAGCCCACTGGGTGGAGGAAATCAACAAGGCATCGAGACCCGAGACCGAAAATTGATGCAAAGGGTGGAACATGAGCAAGCATCGAAGACGAGGGGATTATTGGCGGCGTCGACGCCTCAGCTGCAGAATTCCACAGGGTGGTCAGACGACGGACTGCACCCCGGCTGAAGTTTGGCAAATCAGAATTATCAACAAGGATGCGAGTTGTCAATACCGTAGGGGGGCGGCACAGCGTCACGGCGTGTGATTGCAATTAGCACCTATGTACCCGGACCTAGCTAGATTCGGTTGATGGTCCAATGTGACTTTGTGACCCCCAACCCAACCCGCGACTGTGGTATTGCAAGGGACCCTCACTGCTCTTCTCTACGCCTTGCATCTTGTTGCCTACAATCTTCACTCTACAATGCGTCCTGCACTCTCTCCTTCCCTACCGAATAACTGGGATTCTGGCCCTTCTCATCTTCCCTCTCATTCAGGTTTGCCGCTTGGCGGATAGTCTTGCTGTGCCGTGTCATCGGCTCTCCATAAATTGTCAACAAACCTTTCACGCTTGTCCTCGCCATACGCACTTCCATTGCTATACATTCATACGCAGAGAAGACTCCACCACGGCCATGTCCACCTCTCCAGAGTCTCTGAAAAGCGTTCTAGTCACAGGTGGCGGCGGATTCCTGGGCTCCCATATCATCCGCCTGCTCGTGAAGGAGCACGGATGCAAGATCTACTCTGCTAGCCGTGATCCGAAAAGCCATCCCGACCAAGAGTCTACAGTCATGTACGAGTCGGTCGATATCGCGAATGAAATCCAAGTCGAAGCACTGTTCAGGCGCACTCAGCCACAGGTTGTCATCCATACTACCTCGCCTCACCCACTTGCACCGCAAGCCATGCAAGAACGTGTCAATGTACAAGGCACAAAGATCCTCTTGAAGCACGCAGCAGCCTGTACCAGCACACGCGCCTTTATCTTCACCGGCTCCGACTCTGGCATGTACCCCTAACAGGACCCTATCACAGAAGAGCAAGCTCGACTGTATACCGCTATCGACCACGCTAGACCCTATGGTAAAACCAAAAGCATTGCCGATGCAATGGTGTTAGCGGCCAACGGACCCGAACTCCGTACCGTGTCCCTTCGAGTGCCTGGTATGTACGGCGCCTATGACTACAAGGGCATGCTACCCCAGCTTCTGGATGCGATGCGTAAAGGGCAACACAAGGTGCAGATCGGTGATAACAAACGACTGTTCGAAGTTCTCGAGGTTCGTAAAGCAGCTGAGGCTCATATACTTGCGGCCAAGGCGGTGCTACGTAGCCAGAACAGTCCAACGAAAGTACCGAAAATAGATGGCGAGGCCATCTTCATCAGTGATGGTCATGCGATTGCGTACTGGGATTTCTTTCGAAAATGCTACGCCGCTGCAGGGGCGCCAGTCAAGCCTGAGGAGATTAAGATTATTCCACTTGGCGTGATGCAGATCATGGCTTCTATGGTCGAGTGGTTCTTCGCTATCTTCACATTGGGTCACAAGACCCCAGAGATGCGGCGACAGAACATGGACCATTTCGAGCGGGGATGCAATTGGTCGCTCGGGAAGGCGAAAGAGCGACTAGGTTACGAGCCTTTAACTGGGGCAGAGCAGGACAAGGCAGTCAAACGAATGATGGAATGGGGCCTTGTCGAGCTGAAGAAGCCGTAGAATGCTGTAATATTGCTATGTATCCTGCAATACAAACTTCACTCCATGTGCTGTGTTCTACTCCGGCCGTCTTGTATTTGATACTCCAGAATGAATTCGATTAGCGCGAACTACACCATCTAATATTGCAACCAGGTCTAGCTTAAAGAAGTCAAATTCAAATTGCTCCTGTCTCGTACATTACAACAATGTGCTGGACTTTAAGCTGTACGGACGCGAACTGTAAACTATTTCAAGCTGTTCCTTTTGAGGGGAGGCGTTCGCACAGCACAGCCTCCTTGCTGCTTGCGTTGGTTGGCTCAGGGCTGAAAGAGATCGACGTCAGCGAATTGGAACCAACTAACAAGAGGGTATGTAAAAGAGTACGAAGTGGGACAGGTCAAAAACCAAAAAAAAAAAAAAAAAAATTAAAATTGGAAACATACAACTAATCCGCCGTTATCTTGCTTAAATAGGGCTGAGCGAACGGGAAGCCTAGCTTTCTCGTAGTCGAGCAACCAGTTGTAAGCAAAAATGATTGTTTTCAGAAGTTCGAATACATGGTCATGTTTCTTCATGTAGTGTTGAGAACATATCAGCGCTTCAGCAACCACGCACTAGTCTTCACATTGCCGCAACCCGACACTTACCACACCATACCGTTCGAACGATCCCATGTTGATTGATTCCGACAGCATGTAGCGGTATGCTATCTTTTTTGCCTCGTAACATGGCGCTTCTACGTATTTCCTGCCTTCTAAAATCCCTCACGTATGAGCACATAATTAAAAAGTCAAAAATAGCAGACGTTCCCACCTCTCTATAACTCAGCGCTCACTGTGAAAGATTTTCCGAGACTCTGCTAGAGTGCAACTTGTCCACTAGGGGTTTCCACAGCGCCCAATGATATGGTAAGGTGAACAAGCTGGAGGGAAGTAACAAGACAAACTTACACATCGAACACGCTCATATATAGGCGGAATCCGGAATGCACTCTTGCATCCGCAGTGTGAAGATGGATTAGGATCTTATACAATATCCAACTCTACTATCTGTAGAGACCCGTGCTTTACCTTCATAGCAGCTTCACCATTCATCAGACCTAAAACGTAGCAAGTCCCCAGATGCATATATCGCGTTCCTTTTTTCCGGAAGAGTACTGGAGAAGGACAACCTTGTATCACACCGATTATATCCCCAGCTTGGATCCC